AGAAAAAGAAAAGGAGGAAGAAGAAGAGAGAAGAAAGGACGGTTAGACAAATAAAGAAGGAAAGGAAAGGAGAGAGAAAAGGGGAGGAGGGGAAAAGGAAAGGGTAGAGGTGAGAAGAGCAGCAGAGAGAATGTAAAGGGAGGAGATAGGAGAAGGGGACAAGAGAAGGGAAGAGAGGAGCAAAAAGGAGAGGAGGAAAAGCGACAGGAATGTAGTAAGGGGAGAAGAGGACCAAGGAGAGAGGACGAGAGGAGAGCAGGAGTGAAGAGTAGAGGTGAAGGGGGCAGAGGGAAGAGAAGAGAAAAGAAGCAGGACATAAAGGGAGGGGAGAAGAGGAAGTGGGTAGAAGAGTAAAGAGGAAGGGAGAGGAGAGGATAGGAGAGACGGGGAAGAAAGGGAAATGGAGGAAAGGAAATGTGGAGAAGAGAGCAAAAAAGAAACGGGGAGAGGAAAGAAAAGGAACATAAGGGGAGAGCAAAGAGAAGGCAGGAGGGGATAACAGAGAGAGAGATGTAGAGAATCTGGGAAAAGAGAAGAGGAGGGAAAGGAAATCAGGAAGGAAGCGAAAAGTACAAAATAATAAATATATACCGTAAATATCTACAAATATCTAAAAACAAATACACTGAAAATATGAAACAGAAGATAAAATGTAGCACGTGCATAAATATTACTTTTAGATATCTATGTCAATGAAAGCAAATATCCTAAAATGTGTACAAAGCGAAAACACTTTTTAATTCCCATTTTAAAAGTGAAAGTCTGGCTTTAGAATGAGCACCACAATGTACATTCGTTTACCACAAAAGCCTCTTCTGTGGGTCCGCCCTCAACTTTAAGTATTTTTTGCATGAGGAAGGCAGAAAGCTCTTTCGTTCCTCATAGTCTGTATTTTGCCTTCCAAACACAGAGAAGCTGCCTACATTATGCCAATTCTTCTGGTTTCACTTTGTTACCAAAGTCAATGACTTTCCTGACTTTAAGGCCAACCTACTCATCCTTCAACCAGAGTTGAACATTAAAGTAGAAATGTGGTCAGCTATGGACATTTAAATAGTTATATATTCATAGTACACAGTAAATTTGCTTCAATACAAGCCCTAACGGACTTCTGTAACTCCATTCTCAAAGTTTACAGCAGAAGCACATTTACTTCTGCAGCTCAGCTTCCCTTCTCCCTCCAAGCAAAAACTCTGCAGATCAGCTCCCCTTCTCCTTCCTTCCAAGCAACGACTCTGCAGATCAGCTCCCCCTCTCCTCCAAGCAATGACTCTGCAGCTCAGTTCCCCTTCTCCTTCCAAGCAATGACTCTGCAGCTCAGCTCCCTTTCTCCCTCCAAGCAATGACTCTGCAGCTCAGCTCCCTTTCTCCCTCAAAACAATGATTCGGCAGCTCACTCCCCTTCTCCTTCCAAGCAACGACTCTGCAGATCAGCTCCCCTTCTCCTATCAATGACTTTCCTGACTTTAAGGCCAACCTACTCATCCTTCAACCAGAGTTGAACATTAAAGTAGAAATGTGGTCAGCTATGGACATTTAAATAGTTATATATTCATAGTACACAGTAAATTTGCTTCAATACAAGCCCTAACGGACTTCTGTAACTCCATTCTCAAAGTTTACAGCAGAAGCACATTTACTTCTGCAGCTCAGCTTCCCTTCTCCCTCCAAGCAAAAACTCTGCAGATCAGCTCCCCTTCTCCTTCCTTCCAAGCAACGACTCTGCAGATCAGCTCCCCCTCTCCTCCAAGCAATGACTCTGCAGCTCAGTTCCCCTTCTCCTTCCAAGCAATGACTCTGCAGCTCAGCTCCCTTTCTCCCTCCAAGCAATGACTCTGCAGCTCAGCTCCCTTTCTCCCTCCAAGCAATGACTCTGCAGCTCACCTCCCTTCTCCCTCTAAGAAATGACTCTGCAGTTCAGCTCCCCTTCTCCTTCCAAGCAACGACTCTGCAGATCAGCTCCCCTTCTCCTTCCAAGCAACGACTCTGCAGATCAGCTCCCCTTCTCCTCCAAGCAATGACTCTGCAGCTCAGCTCCCTTTCTCCCTCCAAGAAATGACTCTGCAGTTCAGCTCCCCTTCTCCCTGCAAGCAATGACTCTGCAGCTCACCTCCCCTTCTCCCTGCAAGCAATGACTCAGCAGCTCAGCTTCCCTTGTTCCTTTATCCCAACAGTGATTCTGAAGCTCAGTTCTCCTACCAGCAGTGACCGAACAACTCAGCACCCCCTGCTCCTCCCTACAAGCAGTGACTCACTCTGCCAGGTCACTGCTGAAAAGTTCCTCTCTCAGCAGTGACCTGCCAACCTTTTAAACTGCAATGTACACAGACCAAAAAAAAATTGATTCTCTTGTGAAATTGGAGAATTAATGACTCCACAGCGACTGCAGCTACAGTGGTCAGTGAGGGCTTGTTTTAGAGCCTATTGACTGCTTGTTAATAATATGCACCTATCTGAATGTCCGTACCCTGGCCAACTTTAAGTATGGTATGCATGAGGAAAGCAGAAAGCTCTTGTTCTTTTCTTCCTCATAGTCTGGATCTTGGCCTTCCAAACACATAGAAGCTGCTTACATTACGCAAAGTCTATCAGCTTTTTCTTGTTCTCAGAATACTCGACTGGACAAAGGCACTTTAACCAGGAGACATTTCATGCTAAAGACACCTCGCATTGTCTGCTGTTTCAAAGAACGCCGTCATTATTCCTACAAGCCGAGAATGATACTGATTGTTCCTTGCTTGCTATTCAGGTGAGCGGAATCAAAAATACGACATGCGGTGACAAGTAGAAAGAAGCTCTCTATAGAAATTACTAACAGACAGAAGTCAGTTTCTTTTGTTCTGCAGAGGCTTCGTCAGGTTTTAAGGGCAACCATCTTTCATAAAGCAGAACCTAAGTCATATATAATCCAATACGCATAACTGGTTATGTGTATACATTTTTATTTTTAATATTTGGCAGATAGGTGAATGAACTTATTCCAGCCTACAACGATGCCAACTCCTCCCTGTGACATGGTCAGGAACATGCAAGCCTACAGGCCTGAATTGGTTATACCTCTACACCACCCACTGACCTTGTACATTAGTTTTCAGTTCAGGAATAATGGCAGGGAATTTCCGGCAGCCTCCTTTTAGCCACTTCCTGTCTACATGCGCCTTGATGATGGCTTAATGGCTATTCTCAGGGCGGGTTTCCCGATGGTGAGAACAGTGGACCATGCCTGTGTAATGCATGTTATACTGGCCACTTGTAGCCTAAGCAAAGGACCCGTGTGACAACACAGGTTGCTAGGATGCTGGTGGGTGGCAGCACAGCGTCACTGGTTGCTAGGACCCAGTTGGCTGGGCTGCACAGCGTCATTGTTTGTTAGGACCCAGTTGGCTGGGCTGCACAGCGTCATTGGTTGTTAGGACCCAGTTGGATGGGCTGCACAGTGTCATTGGTTGTTAGGACCCAGTTGGCTGGGCTGCACAGCGTCATTGGTTGTTAGGACCCAGTTGGATGGATTGCACAGCGTCATTGGTTGTTAGGACCTAGTTGGCTGGGCTGCACAGCATCATTGGTTGTTAGGACCCAGTTGGCTGGGCTGCACAGCGTCATTGGTTGTTAGGACCCAGTTGGCTGGGCTGCACAGCATCATTGGTTGTTAGGACCCAGTTGGCTGGGCTGCACAGCGTCATTGGTTGTTAGGACCCAGTTGGCTGGGCAGCACAGCATCATTGGTTGTTAGGACCCAGTTGGCTGCGTCATTGGTTGTTATGGCGCAAGCGTCCAACTGCCCCTACAGTTACAACCAATGACGCTGTGGGGACCAGGGCCTAAGTATACACAGGGCTGACCATGCACTAAAGATGGAGTGTCTAGAATGGCATCAGAGCCAACTCCAAACTGTGCCTCCATGAGTACCGCCTGAGGTGGCCGCTTCCATTGGCCTCATTGGCGGCAAAATCCTGCTCGTGTATGTGCACCAATTCCATTGAGTTGCTAGTGACACAGCGATGTCTGCCTAGTGAGAAGATAGAACATGTCACCAGCATATGATATATTGAGCCTGACCCTGACCGACCCCGAAACGTTGCCATCCTTGTAACAATATGTGTATGCATCAATAAAGGTGTTACTTTGGACACATTGCATCGGTGTGACGGTGACATCTTCTATCTTCATTGATTTTATCGGCACCATCCAAAGTCATTTCAGCACCCATCTTCAAGGAGTATGCTGATCAGGAGTGCGGTGGGTTTCTTTCGGACTTGTTGGTGTGCATAGTTGGGATGTCACGATTAGGGCACTGGGGCACCCGGAATCGGAAACTCTGGGTCTTGCGTAGCAGTATATAGTGACTGAATTAGGAATGGGCAGGGATACAGGTCTCTGGAGATGCAGGGACAGTGTGACCGCACAACAAACGCAGGTGTGCCAGAGTCGCAGGATCTAAGAAGACACCCGGTCTTCCCCAGAGCCACTGATGGTGTGGATGTTAAACTGCGGGGCAGCTCCCAGGTTGCGGTTCTCTGACACACCTGTGCAGGCACAGTGCCAGCGGGTACTCAGGGACCACCGCACATGGGACAAGACACAGGGGGCGTACAGGATACAAGGTACAAAAAACAGATACTGGATGGAAGACCCAGGGAACATGCGTGACACAGGGAGCAGGTAACAGAAGGTAACACATAATAGGT